TATTTACCTTTATCTTGTTGTGGTGCTCAAGTATTTTATAAATTCTAGATATAAGTCCCTTATCTGACATGTCATTACCAAACACTTTTCCCCAGTCTGTGGCTTCCCTTTTCACCCTGTTGGAGAGGTTTTTGGATGTGCATAGGGATTTGAAGGTCCCATTCTTCTATTTTATCTTCTCCTGGTTGTAGATTTTTCAGGATACTTGGAAGACTGTTTATGTCATGGATTAGGACTACTAAAGTTCTTCCAAGCTTTTCTTTAATGAAGTTTACAGTCCTTGGTTTTAATCCTAGGCCCATGATCCACCCTGAGTTGCTTTTTATATATGGAGTGAGATGTGGATCTTGCTTAAGTCTTCTGTAGATAGTTTTCCAATTTTGCCAACATCATTTGTTAAAAAGGCTGTAGTTGCCCCCTTAACTGATTTCATCTCCTTGTCAAAAATCAGTTGACCATAAATAGATGGGCTGATTTCTGGGTTCTCAATTCTATTCCGTTGATCTATGGGTCTGTCATTGTACCAATACCATGCTGTCTTGACAGTCTCTATTTTTATGACAGAATAAATCCATAATAGAATCGCTTGGGACAAAGAGAGGTGTGTCCTCAACTTTAATCAAATATGTCAGTCCTGTCAAGAGCCTGCCTTCGTTTTAGAGTACTCATTCTCATTTACAATAACACAAAGATAAGCTATATTTACTCAGCAATACAAATGAAATATGTAGTGTTTAATTGTGTTTACATGATTTACTAAAGTCTTATAATATGCACTGCCATAGAGTCATCCCAGCCCATTGTGACCCTCTGTGCAGAGTAGAACTAGCCCATAGAATTTCCAAGGCTGTAATTCTTTACAGGAGCAGACTACCTCATTTCTCCCATAGACAAGGGAATGAGTTCAAACTGCTGACTTTCTGTTACAGTTTAATGCTTAGCTTACTATGCCACTAGGATTCCTTAAAATCTTATAGGTATCTCATATTGGAACCTATTCATTATAGGCCTAATTTTTTTTTATTCATGTTGTTGCTGATGTTGCAATGAGCCCTCAAGTTAACTCTAACTCATAGCAACCCTATGAACAGCAGATCTAAACCTTGCTGTATCCTGCACCATCCTTACTATCTCTTACATTCTCAGGCCCATTGTTACAGGTCACCATATCAGTCCATCTTACTGCGGTGGTATTCTTCCCTCTTTTAATCACCACCTTTCCCAGCATGATGTCTTCTTCCAAGGACTAGTCCCTCCTGACAACATGCTCAAAGTATGGTAGACAGAGTTTCATCATCCTTGCCTCTAAGGAGCACCTTCACTGCACCTCTTCCAGGACAGACTAACTCATTCTTTTGACAGTCCATCAAATAGCCAGTGTTCTTTTATTTGAAGTACAAACTTACTTGTTCAGCTTTGGGTTCATTATCAGTATCTGTGTATCTTAAACTTTATCATTCTCAAGAAGCAGATTGGCATGACAGTTGCCTTAAATGTTTATGCTTTCCTGTTCCTTTTTCTTTCCAGGTTCGAAAGTATGGAGCCTGGCTCAGTGGTCCGTGCCATCTTTGACTTCTGCCCAAGTGTATCTGAAGAACTGCCCCTTTTTGTGGGAGATATTATTGAGGTACTGGCAGTGGTCGATGAGTTTTGGCTTCTCGGGAAGAAAGAAGCTGTCACAGGTAAGAGCTCCACAATTCCCTGCAAACAAAATGCCACCACAGAGCATCACTTTCTCCGATAGAGACAAGATTTAAATGGAAAGTCAAGTCTGTCCGCTTCAGAGGGAGCTCTGGTGGTCTAGTGGTAAGAAGGCGTGCAGCAATGCCAAAGGCATATGGTATGAATTCACTTGCTGATCCACGAGAGGGTGGGGAGTCTCTGCCCATGCAGTACTGCCTCAGAAAACCTGACCAAAGTCTGTCAAGGTCTTCACCGTTGCATGCTATGCTATGGACAATAACTAGGGATGATAGGAGAATTGATGCCTTTTGAGCTGTGGTGCACTGAATATACCATGAACCACTAGGAGAACAAACAATTTCTTCTTGGAGAGGGTGAAACTAGGCTGCTCTTTGGAGGCAAGGATTCTGAAGCTTCGTTTGAACATACTTTGGTCATGTTGCAAGGAGAGATCAGTCCTTGGAGAGGGACGTCATGCTTGAGAGGGTGAAGGGACAGCGCAAGAAAGGAAGACTCTTGATAAAATGTATTGACTCAGTGACTAAGGTAATGGAGTTAGATGTGTCAGAGAAAGATTGGCTCAGGCTAGAGCAGGATTCAGAGTTGTTGTACGTAGGGTTCCTATGAGTTGCAGGCGACTCGGTAGCACATAACAACAATCATCCACGGAAGCAGACTGATGAGCCCCTTGAGTAGGCTCTCACACTCAACCATCTCCATAGCAGTTGGACACAAACCATCTGTGGTACTCAGAGACCTCTGAGGAATAATAGGCAGCAGGACAGAAGGTCAGGAGGCCCTTTGGGAAGCCGTAGTATTTTAAGTGAAAGTTGATGATGGCCTAGGCTAGGTGATGGCGCTGGAGAGCAGTTAACTGATACAGGAGCTAATCAGACATAGAATCAACCAGACTTTCGTATTCTTTCCAGTGTGTAGGCCTTGTCTTTTTAACCGCTATCTGTTAAATCCTCCTTATCTTCAGAGACCTCACATGTCTCAAATGCCATCTTTTTCACAAAATTTTTCATGTTCTTCCTGACCTTCTTGGACTCTCATAGCAATTTGCTATTTGTGTACCTATGTGTGACACTTGCTTTCATAATCAAGTCATTATGTCTGAGTCCGATTTTATGCCTAAATGCAATTGTGAGGTTTTGGAGACCAAGGTGTTCTTCCTCATGTTTCCATCTGCAGTGTGCCTAGCGCATTGCACCCAATAAATGCTAGTTGCATTGCATTTTTCTGTTTTCTGCTTGGATTTAATTTTTGTACTTTGCGCCAAAATAGAACCTCTTATTATGAGTACTCAGTTCTCAGTTCTGGAGGTAAACTCAGAGAAACATTATTTGTTGCTGTACACGCCAGGAGTGATACATTTAATTTTGGAAATGTTCTTTTTATTTTTAGGACAGTTCCCTAGCAGTTTTGTGGAAATTGTGACTATTCCCAGTCTAAAAGAGGGAGAGAAGTTATTTGTCTGCATCTCTGAATTCACATCCCAGGAACTGAACAGTCTTCCCCTCCATCGAGGTAAGCTGGTCAGCAGAGAGTGGAAAACGGTTGAAAAATGAAATTGTGGAGTCTGTTCATTGTTAAGTGACAACTGCTAGAGAATTCCTTATAATAGCAAGACAGTCCTGACAATAGTAACATCTCGTATGCTGAATTTATATGCCATCAAGTCAGAACTGACTCATAGCTGACCCTCAAAGTAAATTTTCAGGCTCTATAAATCAAATGTGAGAAGACTGCCTACCTTTCTATTACAGAGAAGCTAGTGGGTTCAAACCATGTGCCTTTGGGTTGGCAACTTAAGTCCTTACCACTAGGTCACCAGAGCTGCCTCATTGTTTGTTTGTTTATTTTTCTTTATTATTTATATTATTAAATTTTATTA